AACCCAAAGCATTCTATGATTCTATGATTCTATGACCAAGGGGAGGCATGGAGCAGAACTGGTCTGATAGCATCCGTTGCTCGATGGAGTGCAAACCACCAGCAGATCCTGGTGCTCAGTGCTCTCAGAAAGAGATGACTGGAAGAATGAATTTCCAAGTGAATTTCCAGTAAAGAAATTCCCCCAGATTGAATTTATCTACATCTTATTTGACACCTTGGGGTAATCATTGGGCCCCTGCTGCTCCATCCATGTCCTCGTTTTTCTAACTTCTGTCATGTCTTCCTAATTAATATTGCCCAAACCTGTCTTTTTCTCTCTCTTCTCTGTTAAAACATTTTCCTAGGACATGTCTACCTCTGTATTTCATTAGTTTAAAATCTTCAAATGCTTTCTTAAAATGTGTCTTGTGCAACAACAGTGAGTGCTCCTGAAATTAAGACTGTATTGTAGTGCAACCGTATGACAGAGATAGAGTTAACCGTGTGTGGGCAGCATGAAGAACGGGCTCGTCTCACATTGACTACTTGCCTCAGCAGCCTTAATAGTGTCATTTTACTGGAGTTTTCTTTTTGCCTCATACACAAACTGGTCACATTTAAATGATCTGCATAACTGAGAGGGGAATTAACACCAGAACCATTAGAACCAGTACATAGATATACTGCATATCCTCTGACATTTAGGATACCTCCACACAGAAGAACTTACACACATGCAGTGGGAAGATGAGACCCAGTGCAGTCTCTGCCTTGCACAGAGACAAGATATAGCTCCAGGATCCTGCAGAAGTTGACATTCAGGCTGTGACATACTGTGCCTATGAGCAAGACATCCCAGATCAGCCTGCTGTGATAATAGGAGTCACTGTCTTCAAGGAGCATCTGATTAAGTGTAAATTTTCCCTGAGTGAGACTTTAATTCCTGCTGTGGCCCTGTCATTTCACTGGGAATGGACAGCATGGCCCAGTGAGGAGAAACATGCTGGCTGTAAAAGAAGTGCATGGGAAGAGACTACAGGTATCAGCTGGGCATTGAGTGAAGGACTAGCGAGAGAGGAGAGAGGACAGAACAGTGAAGACCTGTGAAGGTGAAATCAATAAGTTTGAATACAAGAGGGTGGACAAAGCAGCACTTCAGGAGAAACCCGAGGAGATGCTGATATAGTCAATGTGATGGAGGCTCAGGCCATGGGGATAGGCAGGATATTGTGAGTGGGAGGGAGAAGTGTGGTCTGCACTTGGACTTATCACAGCTGTATAAGGATAGGGAGAAAATAAAAGCCAGAGGTTTGAGAAACTGTAAAAGAAAAGAAAGGATTTGAGTCTAGCCTGGATATGTGCAGCAGAAGGAAAGTCTAAGACAAAGCAGCCTCCCAATCTAAATTACTTTTTTGAGTGAGAAGTCAGGGTTGTTTCTCAGGCAGGCTTACACACTACAGCAAGCAGTCCTGCTATGGAAATCAGTAGACATATTTTGAGCACTTTAACATTTTATACATGAGACTGGTGTTTGCTGTACCATACATTCCTCACCGCTCCTTGTCAGTCAGGAGGCAGCAGCCTCTGAATTGGGAAAGTTGAAGGCTTCATGACCACAGCGTGGTTTCTTCAGCACATGTGGGTGCTAAAGGGTCTCTGCAGGGTCGTGGACTCCAGAAACAAGGAGCAAGGCTTGTGGCTCATCTCGCTGTCTTCCTAAGACTCCCATGCCTGCCTCTACATTATCCTGCCAGTAGTGCCCAAAGGAAATAACTTTCTGCTGGCAATGCAGGGGAGAATTTAGAGCCACACAGAAAGCAATAAAAGTCCTGTTTTGAGACGATGTTCTACTGACCCACTCCTCACTCACTCTGGGCTAACTGCTTACAGGTAGTTCAACAGTGAGACAAGAGCAGCAAATGAAGCATTTTCTGTTCCCGTGGAAAAAACCATGGTGATATTTTTCTCCATAGAATTTTTTAAGTTTGTCTAAAGCAGGACTTCTTGACAATCTCTCGACAACCTGGGGCTCTCTGTTACAGAAATTTACTTGGGATCTGCATAGCAGATACATTTTAAAAGGTCATATAATGGTGGAATATCTTTCCGGGGCCAGACAGGATTGTCCCCCCAGGATACCAGTTGGAGAGCTCTAGCTGGGTTAAAAAAAAGTGAAACAGAATGCAAATGCTATGTTTTTACATGTTGAGTTTTGGGAAATGTTTAAGCAGAAAAGGAAAGAGTTTTCTTACTTTCAAAGTTAACAAAATCCCTTGTTTTCCTTTAGTAAAATGTAATTTTTTTTTTTTTTTAAATTGACTTTCTGAACAAAAAGTGATATTCAGCATCAGCTTCAGTGGACTTAGCAAAACAAATGAAAGGCCTGATTTTCTGTAATACCCTCCACAGTTTTACATTGCTCTAAAGTTGAAGGTCGGCAGGGTGGGAGGTTTTGAATAACAGTGTGACATACTTGTGATAATTAGCTACCTGTACTTCTGCTATTTCTATCCTTCTGGAGGTGGTGCACATGGCAACAGAGTCAACATGTTTGTCTGAGACCAACAGTCACAGCAGGCACTCAGCTCTATGGGAAAGTAAATTAAAGCCAGAGAAAGCTGGGGCTTGACACCTGGGACCCAAAACTGACTGGACTTGGATACTTCCATCTCACAAGGTAATATAAGGTGACTAAGATCCACTAGCAATCTCTAATTTCTGCTTTTGCTTACCTGTGTGCTTGAGTCTACACATCCAAAGGGCACCACCCTGCTTTCAGGCTGGAATATTGCACCATTACTTTTGGAGGTTACCTTGTCAAACAAGCTGATGTTTATGTTCTCCCAGCAAGACTCAAAGATAAGAAAAATTTCTGCTAAGATCCCTCAGTTCCTGCTCAGCTATCAGCCATGACCTCACAGTACCTTGGAAGCAGCAATAAAGCCAGCCCCACTACCCTGCCCCACAAGCTAGGTATGTGGTGTTGTCCTCCTTAAGCCTTATAGCCAGAGAGCCTTTGAGCTAACAGGAGATAAAGTAAACGCCTATCCAGAAGATACTCTCCCTTACTGGACTTGGCTCTCACCTCATTTCTCCATTTACCTTTGTTCTTCTCACTTGTCAATATGTGGAGAATCAGGCTCAGTAGTCTGCTAAATATTTATGATAGGAATGGCAATTTCATTGCCAAAGGTTCTAAGCCGTGGCTATCCTTGGGGCATTAGTTTTCAGTGCCATCTAGAGCTGTGCTTCTCTGCTCATCTTGTTATGAGCTTTTATATGGTTAAAGCTCTAAAAAGTAGGTGGGCTCTGGAGACAATGGGGCTAATTCATAATTTCTCATTTGAATTTCCCAGCTGCCTCTTCACACCAAATTCTTTGTCTTTTATTCCTCTAGATCTTGACAGTGCAGCAACACAATGACTACTGGTGAAGGGGAACACTGTGTCCCTTCACATCAGGGGGCAGGGCTCCCTCAATAAAAGGGGAAAATAGCCTGTTTAGAACCTCTGTGAATGGGCAGGAGGAACTGTGCATAGAAAAGGAGCACAAAATCCTTGGAAGTACTGTCTGACATGCACCACAGCCAGCAAGGGATGAGGTAAGAGTTCTGGGAATTGGGCTGTCCAGGAGGGGAAAGGGGAAGGCGACATGGAAAAGAAGCATAGTGTGGAGACTGAGAGTGGCTTTAAAATCAAATGAAACTCCAACAACTCTTAACTCTGGAATTTTGCCTGAGAGACAGAGTCCAGATCAACTGCAAGCAATGGAAAACAAAGGCAATAGTTTATCCTGTTGTATTTCTCAGGGAAGGTCTGCAAAAAGCACAGGATGGCAGAGCACCAGAAATTGTACATCCCAGTGGTGGGCACATGGATGGGGGGCATCCCCTGTCCACCAGGTGGGACGGGATCAAATGTGGCAGGGTCCCCATGCTGCCACACTGCCAGAAGGGAAACTTTACAGCAACACCTTTGTAAACAGCAGGATCCCACTGAGACACCATGCACACACCTCCACATGGTTGTTGGCTGGCTGAGTAATCCCGTTGTGGGTGCAGCTCAGGGTGTCCCTAGCTGGAGGCTCACAGGCAGCTGAGGCTGTGCTCTTTCCATGCTCCAGCTGGTGGGGTTGAGCCAGCAGCAAGGCCAGAGCTGTGTGAGCACGGTGCAGCTTTCAAACCCAGCCTCTTAACATGGCCTGTCAGCTGAGGCACAGGGTTAGCTGGGTCTGTCTGTATCTGCTGTGGTGCTAGCTTGGGTCCAGCAGGCTCACAGCATGGCTGCCTGTGGTCCACTGAGCAGCCTTTCCCACAGAAGACCAGGTTTTCAGCTGATATTCAGCCCTTGTCCCCTTGCAATCTAATGCATCACAGCTGCTGGAAAGCTGCCCCCACAGCTCTGTCTTCCCTTCAACCCCATGACTTGTTTTTCTTTTTCCTTAGGTACAGAAATTGTCCTTCTGCCACATGCTCCTGCTGCTGATCCTGTCAGCATTTCACCTACCCCGCTAGCCCCCTCCATTTTACTCCAGGTGCTTTAGCCTTTTCTGTACCCTCCCCACCTCCCCTTCCAAGGGGGGATATTTTCCACCCCACCACCAGCAGCCATAGCACCCTGCTGCTGGTGAGATGCCAAACCTTGACCTCTAAGCAGTGCACACAACTCTGAGCATGAGACAATTAGGAGAGAAAGAGGGAAGGGAGAAAGTATCGACAGGAATAAATTGAGAGAAATCATAAAGCTTAAGCAGAAAGAAAGCAGTTTGAAAGGTAAAGTATTCAGAGAAAGCCCTTTCCTGGATGAATCTAATTGTTTTGTTATCTTTACCCACCAAAGCATTTACTTTGGTTTGTCGCCCGATCCACAAACACTTTCGAGGAGATGACATTACCGAAAGGCAGGAACATCTGCATCAGCTCAGCATCCCCAAACTCCTGGGGCAGATGGTAGATAAACAGGTTACAGCCCTCTGGTCCTATCAAGAGAAAAAGAAGACCCGTGAATGGAGAAAAATAGGATATGAGAAAGCACATGGTGGAGGTTTACTTTGGCATCCCCTCTCTCTGACTTGTGAGGGGTCACCTCTAGGAAGCAATCTGTAGACTCTCAGAGGAACAGAGCAGAAGACCAGGAACTCAGAAAGTCACCTAGATGCTATGCTAACTTCATTAACCTTTCCAGGACAGACACCAGGATAAAATCTAGAGACAGAGGAATGCAGCAGCACATGTGGCCATGGAAAGACAGAATGAAGAAATAAGAACAAAAAGAATGAAAGAATACAGTTCATAGTTTTTCTTTGCTCCTCATAGTCATATTTAATCTGTAGAGTTTTGGATGATCCACACTAACTGTTTCCTCTACTCAGTGTCTGCATGCAGAAGTTTCATTATCCTTCTTGTATCTGTGGGAGGATGGTGATAACAAGTAGAGAGATATGCACAAACCCACAGGTTTAATTTGTTTTATAGAATTTTACATTCAACCCCCCCAGCTTGACTCAGCCTGAAGACTGGACAAATCTGGACAGTTTGACCATGTCCCCCATTCTAGAGGGTTCTGCAAGAGAAATTACAGATGGATTTATATCCAAATTACTAGACAAGAGGAATTGCCTTTTTTGCCTCAGTGCTGTAACATATACTCTTACAGACTTCAGAGGGTGCTTGGAAAAATATCCAGAGAGGAGTCTTTAGTTGGAATATGCAGTTTTGTTAAAGCAGAGACCCTCAGAAAATGTTCTGTTGAAATGATATACTGGGGCAGAAGAGGGAAAATCTGTCTCTGGTCAAATTACCTAGCATGAAACATTTCAGTGTGACTTTTATTTTTAAGCATGCTCTACTTGAGCAGAAGTCAAAAGAGCACAGGTGTGTCCAAGTGGTCCTGTTGAAAAAAATCCTATTTAAACCCCTTGCAGTGTTCACTAGCAGAAAACTGTATACTTTGAGGAGGCATGGATTTTTTTTTCCACTGCCTTTTTTCCAAAGTTACTTCCAGCTCCTCCCCAGCTCTCCACTGACCTCAAAAGGTAACTCCAGCTCTGCTTTGCACAGGTGGCTGAGATGAAGGGGATATATTGCATGCTCCTTGCTGCAAGGCTAAGTGGACAGAGGGAAGGAAGGTTTCCCTTTTCCCCCCAGCCCATGTGCCTGCCACCCTGTGACCTGACTCGGCCAACTTTACCCATTTATGTCTGGGGCAAAGTGTGGGGAAGGAAAGGGTTTTTTAATACTCTTGTTTTCTTCATGAGGGCATAATTATGGTGTCATAACACATCAAATTACAACTTTGCCTTTCCTGTTAGAGAGAGGAGTTCATCTAGATGCTCCCACCTTTTATTAGCCATTACTCATCCCCCCGGCTGGCAGGAGAAGTACAGCAAAGTCAGGATTCTGACAGATGCCCATTTAAAGCTCATTAAAATTCCTGGGCCTCAGCATGATTGAAGTCACAAGCTCTCCACATTTCCTTTTGGATTAATGGAAAATGAAACCCTAATGAATATTTGCTAAGCACAATTTTCCCCACTAATTTGCTAAAAGGACTGTCATGAAGGAACAGCTGATCCTTTGCATCTTGTGCATTTCCTAGAGATCATGAGGATGGTAACAGGGTTTCTTCCAAATGGGAGGGATAGTGGTATGGTGGCATAATTAACTAATTAGGCACCTAGTCATCTGCTTAGCTAAATTACTTTTGAACCTCAGTGGCCCACAATCAGGCTCCCCTATTTCATGCCAAGCTTCTCCATCATCCCCCCACCTCTTGTCTGCCTCTTTCTTAGTCTTCTCACTGAGCAACTATCCCTTCTCCAGTCCTTGCTGTGGTTCATTTCCACACAATGTGGAGTTATTGGCATGATAAACTAGATATGAAACAGTCTGAAAGTGTTAAACAAACACCAACCCCCCTAGGTGTCTGTTAGAATTGAGAAAATTCTGCCCTGGAGAAGATCATGGTCCAGAATAGCAGGAAAAAATTATCCCTTCATCTGAACGTGCCCCAAAGTACTTCTGGTGTGGGATTTGAGATCCACATTATAATAGAATGGGTAAAATCTTGGCTTTGCTGCAATTAGTGGCAAAATTCCCACTGACATCACCACAGCCAGCAGTTTGCTCTGTAAAACTGGCAAATTCTTTTAAAAATGCCAGCTGCATTTCCTGGGGTCTTGGATGTGTTGTCCATGAGTAGGGATTCTGCCTGCTTGTGCTGAAAAACACCTACTAAGGCATAAGGCGGACCAGGAGTCATGTAACTTCATCTACACCGGGTTTAGAGGTTGGGCTCAAGGAGACAACAACCCTTACTTCACCTTGAAATCAGCTTTGCCTCACACTGCTCAGAGATCAAGAGGAAGAGACTGGGGAGGATGTGAAAAATGAAAGACCATCCTCAAAGACCAGTTCAGCTCTGAAGCATGGCTGGGAAAGCCATGCTGCATCTTCCCATACCACCTCAGACATTCAAGGCCAAACTCACTCTGTTTCCAACTGCAGAGTGGTTTTGCTAGTTCCCAATGCTGAAAACTCCACCTGCTATCAAGAAACAACCTGGGGTAGTTTGATTTGGTTCACCCTCACATATGAAAATCCTGCCATTAGAATTTCACAAGCAATTTCTTGTTAAATCCATCCATCCATAAGTTGCTTATCACAGTTAGAATCCTTGGTAAAAAATTCACAAAACAAGCTCTCTGTGTCTCAGCCCTTCTACCTTGATGTGGTGTTTTTTGCCTGAGTGAAGTTAATGTAGGCACTCCATGAAAAAATATATGTTTATGAGTACAGCCACTTCTTTGTATATATGTGTATATTTTTAAGAAACCAAAGGCATGAGTTGTTCAGCTCAGAATGCTATGAAGAGCCAAGTTAGTTCTCAGTGCACACATGCAATGAGTTTTAAAAGACTTGGTCAGGATCACTGGAGCAAGAGGAAGATCACAGCTGGTATGGGAAAACCTTAGGTTCATGAAAGGCAGGTCCTGCTTGACCAACCTGATCTCCTTCTATGACCTGGTGACCTGCCTGGTGGATGAAGGAAAGGCTGTGGATGTCATCTACCTGGATTTCAGTAAAGCCTTTGACACCATCTCCCACAGCATTCTCCTAAGGAAGCTGGAGGGTCATGGCTTGGATTGGTGTACTCTTCACTGGGTAAAAAACTGGCTGGGGGGCTGAACCCAGAGAGTTGTGGTGAATGGAGTTGAGTCCAGCTGGTGACCAGTAACAAGCGGTGTTTCCCAGGGCTCAGTTTTGGGGCCAGCCTTGTTTAATATCCTTATCAATGATCTGGATGAAGGGATTGAGTGTGCCCTCAGTAAGTTTGCAGGTGACACCAAACTGGGTTGGAGTGTTGTCTGCTCGAGGGTAGGATGGCCCTGAAGAGGGATCTGGACAGGCTGGATCAATGGGCCGAGGCCAATTGTATGAGGTTCAACAAGGCCAAGTGCTGGGTTCTGCACTTCGGTCACAACAACCCCATGCAGCGCTACAGGCTTGGGGAAGAGTGACTGGAAAGCTGCCCGGCAGAAAAGGACCTAGCGGTGTCCATCGACAGCTGGCTGAACATGAGGTGTGCCCAGGTGGCCAAGAAGGCCAACAGCATCCTGGCTTGTGTCAGGAATAGTGTGGCCAGCAGGAGCACGGAGGTGATCGTCCCACTGTACTCGCACTGGTGAAGCTGCACCTTGAATACTGTGTCCAGTTTTGGGCCCCTCACTCCAAGAAAGACAATGAGGTGCTGCAGCATGGCCAGAGGAGGACAACAAAGCTGGTGATGGGTCTAGAGCACAGGTCTTATGAAGAGAGGCTGCTGGGATTGTTTAGCCTGGAGAAGAGGAGGCTGAGGGGAGACCTTATCACTCTACAACTACCTGAAAGGAGGTTGTAGTGAGGTGGGTGTTCGTCTCTTCTCCCAAGTAGTTAGCGATAGACAAGAGGAAATGGGCTCAAGCTGCGCCAGGGGAGGTTTAGGTTGGAAATTAGGAAAACTTTCTTTACGGCAAGGGTGGTCAAGCATTGGAACAGGCTGCCCAGAGAGGCGGTGGAGTCACCATTCCTGGAAGTGTTCAAAAAACGGGTAGATGTGGCACTTTGTGACATGGTTTAGTGGGCATGGTGGTGTTGGGTTGATCGTTGGACTGATGATCTTAGAGATCCTTTCTAACCTTAATGATTCCTAGTTTTCACTTTTATTAAAAAATAATCCAGCCATCAAGCCAGGAAAAATGAAATTATTACTCTGCCCTGAAATGGTTTAGTGGTGAACTTGGTAGTGTTAAGTTGGACTGTGTGATCTTAAACGTCTTTTACAACCTAAAGGATTCTATGATTCTATTCTATCCTATGACTCCAACTGCCTTGTTGGATAGAAAGGTCTTGTTTTGGACTGGGTTAATGGATTGTTGGCGATCAGTATACTTAGCAGTTCAGGGCTGAATACAGTACTAAAATGATTTACCACACGCTTCATTTTGGTTTTCAAAAGTAAGTGAGCACAAAATCTAACCCTCATGACACATTATGGGAAGAGAATCAAGGTTCATTTCTACCCTAACATCTACCATGGTTCTTGATTTTATGACTTTAAGTTACAGATATTTCTGTCCATTAATACACAAGAAGCACAGATAGCCTTGATTCGGACAAAAAGGAAAGAAAAGTTTTAAGGAACACACAGTTTATGAATGGTTTGTAAATTACAGGCAAACCATGCTGAATAGTGGAAAAACCCATGACTGAGGGCACAGGAGGACCATGTGCTAAAGAGCTCTGTGTTGAGTCCCTGTTGATTTGGTTTGGTTAGACCTGAGTTGCTAAGCCATTGCTCTGCCCATGCTCCTCACCCTCCAGCTCATTGCTAGTTCTTTAGCATGGGGACAGCAGCAGACCCAACCTATCAACCTGGGTGTCCACTATCAACACGAGTAAACTCTACATACATGAGATGACATCAGCTATCTATCATGGTGTCCCCCACACTGTGAATCAGCGTCATAAAGAAAGGCTATGACTAGACTGCTCTTCCAACAGTAATTAAAAATGGACTGTTCTGTAAGGTTGTATGAAGTTAGCCTGCAGTCCTTTAGTCAGCTGCACACCTCACCTCTACACCAAATACTCAGAGGCTGGAATTTCATTGCCTCAACATCTGCTTGTTATTCAGTCCCCAGCATTGCTGACTACAGGGCAGATGAGAGTCACAAGCCTGCACCACTTTATTTTAATATCTAAGTACATTTCTGAGTTTCAGAAACTATGTCAAGATGAGTAATACCATACATATTTAAAATTACCCCCAATTTTTGCCTGGTTGACATGGCCTGAATCAAGACTTCATCTCTAGCTCTTGGATTGGTTCCACCCTACACACCCCATCAGCTGCCAGCAGCCTCAGCACTCATGTGGAAGTAATGACTAATCTCTACAAGAATGTTGCAGCAGCCAAGCTGCTCTGGGCTTGTTATCCAACTAGGATCCAGGAGCAGAGAGTTAGTATTGCTATTAACAATGTGATCATTGATGTTATTGTGGTAGGGCTGGCTCATTAATGAATCAATGTTTGTGTACATCCTTGCAAACATAAAGTACTCTTCTCAGCACTGAGTATTATTATTATTAGAGTTCCCCCTTGCTGCATTTTCCTGTTAAAGTTTAGAGATGCTTAAAGGTCTTGATCCTCTGCTAAAAAGGAGTGTTGTGCCTTAGAGTTTCTCCCTCTAGCAAGCAGTAAAGAAAGCCACAGCATCTAAACACTGCAGGAAAATGGAGGACACTGGGAATGGCAACGTATATCAGACTGGTGGTTCATCGCATATATCTGGGCCCCAACCATCCTCAATACCAGCTGCTTACAGGAAGGAGTGAGAAGTTATGGGATATCTTGTCCACTGGGTGATACTCACCCTCAACCCACAGAGACACACTGTGCCTTTTGAAAACAGGGGTCTTTGGGAAGTGGGTCTTCAATGTGCACAACAGCTATCCCTTGCTTCTGATGGTTCCTAGTGCAATGCTATGCTGAGCAATGATCTGCTCGCCATTTTGTCCTGTGCTTAATCTAACCCCAGTAAGTAATAAAAAGCAAAGTCCTTCAGCATGGGGGAAACATCTCTGTAATGGTACGTTAGGTCTGTGCATCTGTTCTCACAGCAGGGACATGTACTAGAGCTAATCAGGAGCTGGAAGTTATGTTCCCCAGGAAATTTTGACATCAGAAAAAAATTAATTCCAAATTAGATTGAAATGCCAACATTTCTAATTTTCTTGCAAAATGAGATTTCTCCCCCAACATAGTTCTAGGCCATCAGAATGTTTTAGTTTGATTGTGTAATCTTGATTCATTTCATTCTGACTGTTACACTATATTAAAATATTAAATGTCATTATATATATATAATAACATGTATAACTTAGAACATATCTGAATTAGTGATCTAATAGAGGATAAAAGTTGAAATGTAATTATTTAAAATTAGGGTTTCTACACTAAGCTGAAGCACCTGACTTAAATGCCTCACTTAGGCAAGCAGTCTCCTCTTCTAGTCAAAAAGGAGCAGTGGACTCCCTGGAGGAATGTTGGGACTACCTGAGTGGGTTACCTGTGAGGATCCCACTGCTCCCCACTGACTGTAAAGGGAACATCACATGGCATGGTGGTCTCCCAAAACATTTACATGGAATAATGAGAGATTCACTTCTCCTTTTCATGCCTCCAGTACAGCCATCCAGTCTTGCTGACTAGATAACACATGCTTCTCTCATAGCCAATGTAAAGGAATAGGGACATTTACTGTATGATTAATCTCATCCTGATATAGAGATTGTGCTCTGAAAGGGCTGATTTCTGTTTCCAGATTATCAATGGAGTCTGAAAGGACTGGAGCAGCTCCTCTAAATAGCAGGTCCTCATTCTCTAAACAGCAAATGTCTGAAATCACATTACTAGCTTCTAATGAAGGGCCACCAGTGCTTTGTGACCTATGATACTCTTTATTCCAATGCAATTGCATTTTTATGCACATTCTTGTTGCTTGTGTCTAACACAGACCCTCCCTGGACACTATTGCCTACATTGCTAGCAGGTCTTTCCATGGCCGATGCACATCAGCATGCTCCCTTCCCTGGGGATGGAGGAGATCTCAGCAGCGAATCCCCATGAGGATGTTCCCACATACTACTGTTAGTACCGATGATGTTGTGTCACTTATGGAAATTGAGAAAAGTCTCAGTGAACAGAGGATTCAAAGCAACTGGGCATTTAATGAATACTGTCTAGGTGTATAAAGAGGGGAACCAACATGGTGGGGATGGCATGCTGGGGCCAGAAAGGAGGACAGATCATTTACTCACCTTCTCTCTGTTGCTGTGGGATCATAGGAGGCGGCTGTGGGAACGCTTGGCTAATCTGGCCATAAGCAGCAGGATAAGCAGCTATAGCAGGGAGAAAGGGGGAGAAGAAAGAGGGACAGATTTCAGTGCTGGGAAGCAAGGAGCTTTCACTTCAAACAATCATACCAAGCTAAATGTGGTCTTTACTCCTGAATTTTGGCTCTGGGAAAGGCCATCTCATGCAGCCTGACATGTGGCAGAAGCACCACAGTCGTGCTCCAGGCAGTGCCACATGGTCCTGAGCATCCACCCCACTTCAGCTTCATCAGCAGTAACACTGGGGACAGCCACACAATGTAAATGGGGGTCTCTGCTGAGATTAATCCCAGCCGGGATTCATAACCATCCCAGATGGCACCACAAACACATTCATTCACGATCTCAGTGTGCTGACACCCATGCTGACAGCCATGTGCAGAGCACATGCACATGTTTTCATGTGTAATCTCTCTTGCACCCTGATTAATTCACATGTTCATAAAAACAGTTTATACGTGTGTTTCTGCCTTTACTCTAACCTTTGTAAGACCACACACTGTATAGGCAGAGTTGCACATACACTGTTGGATATACATTTTTTTTCATGCCTGTAGCAACTCCTTCTCTCTCACACAAATACAGTGGAAACTGTGGGCAGCAATTAAACAATTTTTCCCACCTCAGCTCCCCCACCAAGCAGACAAGGGGAGCCATTCAGTACCGCAGATGGTAGATGATGTGCCTTGCTGCTAAAAATACAGAGTACGGGTCACCTGCAAGCCCAGAGAGAGGGGGATAGGGGCCATGTGTGTGCAGAGGGGTTAATTAACAGCTCAAAGGGTTGAGCTGCTTCTCATCTATCAAACCTCACAAGCAATAAATGACAATAACTAAAACACTGGCAAATGAAGCCCTACATGGAGAATTAAATTAAGTTTCCAGATACAGCACTGACATGAGATAATAGCT